GTCTGTCAATCAATCAACCAGTCAGTCTGTCAATCAATCAATCAACCAGTCAGTCTGTCAATCAATCAACCAGTCTGTCTGTCAATCAATCAATCAACCAGTCAGTCTGTCAATCAGTCAAAAGGTCTAATGTGAAGAATTTCGTTCATTTTTCAGTTTGCCTCTACGGTTTTGGATCAATATAGTCAAGAATCCTAATTTTATATTCGATTTAAATAAAGGAAGTACCATAGACTCGTGTTTGTCTGTTATCGCCCAGGTAAGTCTTCATGAAAGTTGTCTGTTCGTACTCAATTGCTGTTGTCTTCTCTCTATTCATTACACGCGGGCAGGCAAGAACCCTATGATTTTCTTTGAAACACACTACACCTTGGAATGTGATTGTTTAGATTAATCATAAAATGATTCACATTTTGGTACGGTTGAAAGTGATACACAATTAACGCTGATTTCCCTCAACAGCTGTTCATGGATGCCTGTTCTACCTCTGATGACCGGCTTAGCGAGGTAGGATCGTCTTGTTGGAATAATTGCTTCTTTCCTGACTGTAATACTTAGACCAAATCATTTCTACTTTTAGGATTCGCCATCCAACAAACTTCTGTATGCTAAAGATATTTCAAGCTACAAGAAAAGGGTAGAACGGTGAGTCCATCCATTTTTCCTTTCTGTCATTCCTTCATTACTACCTTTCATTCTTTTTATTATTTCCACTAATTGTTTATCTTGTATTTCCAGTTACTACGCCGACATAAGGGCTCTACCGCCGACACCCGATGCTGAATTAAAAGATTTCTTTGCTGATCTTTCTATGGTAGGCATGCTTGTCCAAACCAGCTCGACCAAACAGCGAATTAATTTTTTCTTATTTTATAGCAATATGGGAAGATGTTCAACGCGGACGTTGCTTTAAGGGAACTGTTTAAATATGTATCTAAATATCAATATCAGGTGAGCATGCGCAAACTCCATTAGTTAGCATTCCTCCCACATTGGTGTGACGTTTGTCACTAAACTATCTATTGTTTCTAAACAGCTTCAAGATAAATTAGAAGAGAGTGGTTATTCCAAGCTTGCTTCAAACCTTGAACACGTGACAGCCGAGATTGACGACAATTAGACGTATTGTCCTAGAAATTCAATTGAGTTACAATTTTTTTTTTCAATTTATATTATATAGGTTTTTAAAGCTTCGTGTTATGAGTTTATTGGTGGTTGACTGCCGTAATCGTGACGTATATTGATGCCATATTTAATAGTCAACTTAAGCAGCAATGAAATTGATTTCAGTAAAAATTATTCTTTGTAAAATTTATCGAAAATCATCACTAAGACAAAGTATTTTGTTACAAAAAGATAAAAAAAGTTAATTTTCATTCATAGAATGAAAGAAGCGTTGTAGATATCGATGAGAAAGTCGCAAGATGTGTTTAATCTTGTAAAAGTTGGGCTGCCTGTGAAAAAGGTCTTGTCACTTAAAGTTATTTTTGTGCTAAATTTATGTTTTGTATGCAAGTCAATCACGTGACTTAGACCCAGGCTCTTTCATGCAGTGCATGTTTGAGCTGTATTACATTTTAATAGTAAACAAATATACGATATAATAAATRGAAATTAGATGAATCATTGTGACGTCATGTAATAATTGGTTTAGGCAAAGGATTGTGGGAAGAGAGCAGGCTTAGTCATATCCAAGAGGCTTATGGGAAGGAGAGAGAAATTTAAAAAGAGATGTTGATAAATTACACTGAGTAAAGACTTTCCAAATTACTATTTTTACCACTTATAATAATGTCAAAACGAACTTTTACAAACAATTCAAATATGGACAAGATAGATTAAGAAGTTTCTGGGCTTTTTAAAGTGACGTGTTTACGAGCTGAACCTCGACTGGCTGGGCTTCGAAATATAGACGGCTTGGTTGGCGTCCCAGCATGCAACTTAACGTGACGAGCTTTGTCATGATGTTCAGCGAATAACGTTGATGATGACTTTCTATGTGAGCATCCGAGCGACGACGGGAGTCTGGGTTCCTCTAGAGATTCCATTTCCTTATATGGCAACGAGGAATATACAACGATTTGGTTTTGATTAAAGCGTGGTTTCTGCATGGGCGGTAGAAGGCGATGCCGAGTCTTTGGTTTGTAATGTTTACCCAAGACGTCTTTTAAACTTCTGTCAATATTTGGTAACATAAGATTGGGATCAGATTCTGCCATTGACTTGGATCTTCGTCGAGCGTGGCCACCCAGACGTGTGATACGCAGAATATGTTTTGCAACCCTGTGGTATCAAAAAAATACATACTTGTTATTCCTTCGTACACAGATCGCGTTATCTCTTTGAATAGAGCACGTTATCTATCTCTCTGTACATCTATTTCTACAAAAGCTTGCTATCTACAGTTATTTAGTGCATGTTATTCCTGAGAACCGTTCAAATATGGTGCGTGGCATCACGTAAATCAGTAAGATATATTCTCTCCACCGTGCATATCTGACCTCCATTTCTGCGAGCTTTTACTAAGTCTTGCCAGCGTGTCGGTCGATGCGACACGATGTACGTCATGAGGAAGCTTTTTAACGTCTGCTGTTATTCGCTCCAGGTCCCACAGAGCTTTCTGGCCAAATGTTCCTGGAATTACAGAGTGGAGAATGAGATCATGTAAACAAAAATTGGAATTGTTCAACCCTTCTGTTCTCTGAGATGCTGCGGGAGAGACTAATTTATTGTTTTAGCAATTTGGACGTCATCTCTTTCCAATGTAAACGAGCAATAAGACAGTTTCCTTTGAAGTGYAATGTTTAATACATACCTATATAGATCCCCTCGTGGCTCCACAAACGAACCGAGCAATCGGCTGAAGCAGTTACAATAAGTTGACGCCAACTCACGTAATCCAGACTTGAAATCGCATTTACGTGTGCTCTGAACCTGACTTTTAGCGGTGGAGTGTCGTAGTTTATCTATCAATGTATTATAAGTTTGTGTTATAATGTAATGAAATGTTGTTTACTCAAACTGATGGCTTTTCCATCCATGTGGCTACTATGGTCATTGCTTTTTTTACCTGGTGGACTGTTTTGTTCTGTTGTAAAATGAGTTGTGGAGATGTTTCTTGTATGGAAGGAAGTCTTTTTCCAGGAACCTGGGCACGTTTATGTCGAGTGGACGTTGACTGATCGTTGTTTTCTTGTTTTATGCAGTAATCAGAGATTTTCCACATCTAGACATACAACATTTATCATTAGGAAAAAACTTGCTCTTTATTGGTCTTTATTATCCCTCAGTTAAGGAATGGACAATATCTAGCGTGCGTCCATCCAATGAGGGATGCACGCGGATAGTTGGGAGAGCACGAAGCTAGCGTAAGAGATGCTCGAGACGCAGTCGAGAGCATCTCTAGCTAGCTGAGTGCTCTCCCAACTATCCAAGTGCATCCCTCATTGGATGGACGCACAAGCTAGATATTGTCCATTGCTTTTATAACATAGTGAGACGTTTTTACTCATCGAAATGTCATATTTTATNTAAGTTTGTGTTATAATGTAATGAAATGTTGTTTACTCAAACTGATGGCTTTTCCATCCATGTGGCTACTATGGTCATTGCTTTTTTTACCTGGTGGACTGTTTTGTTCTGTTGTAAAATGAGTTGTGGAGATGTTTCTTGTATGGAAGGAAGTCTTTTTCCAGGAACCTGGGCACGTTTATGTCGAGTGGACGTTGACTGATCGTTGTTTTCTTGTTTTATGCAGTAATCAGAGATTTTCCACATCTAGACATACAACATTTATCATTAGGAAAAAACTTGCTCTTTATTGGTCTTTATTATCCCTCAGTGCTCTATGAATGGAGATGTAAAATTCAAGCTTAAAACCGACTGAAGTCAGCTTATTTTTAAAATGAATAATGTTAAACACGACCGCATTGAATGTCGGTTTGCTTTGGCCCTTTAAAGCATTTGCTTGTTTTTTGAAAAGGTCATGAGCGCCATTTTCACAGTCGATTACTTCATCATTCACTTACCCTAACATAACCAACAGTATCCCCTGATATAAAGATTGTATTGTTCTCGTCTGTAGCCAGTGCCGTAACTGATTCACGGTGATCACGAGTTGCCATAAATTGGCCCAATAACTTCCCACTACAAGTACTCCAAGCTCGGACCAGACCACCTGATTCACCCGTCAATAGATTCGCTGTTTCACGGTGATGTTCGCGTTTGGGCAGGAAAAGAACCTGGAGAAGATAAGATAAGAAGTATTCCATAGACCTTTTCTGAAATACATAATCATGGTGCATTGTGGTCTTGCTTCAGTACAAACAACGCCATATTTGGCAGCATAAACAAAAGATGTTTGTACCGAATCTAGACCACAATGCAATGCAAACTGCTATCTCAGAAAAGGCCTATGGGCGGGGGGAGACAAACAATGTCCACAAATATATTGTCTTGGAGTGTTGCAAAGAATATCTCACGACTGAGCGCATTAATGTGCAATGGCTTTTCTGTTTCGTGTATATTAATTAATTAATTATTAATTAGTTATATTTTCTATTAATTGATAGATATAGCTAGAGTAGCCAGGCTTTCTCAGCCACTCCGAAAGAATTTGGGCGGAGAAACCCGACTTACCAAATCAACAACTGAGTCGTAATCGGTGTCTTTGACTTCTATAGGTGAAATAGCGGTCGATATGCTGCGAGCTCGCTTAGACATCGCTATCACCGATGGATCTTTTAGAATTGACATTTTACGAAAAGGAGAATTAAAGCGTTTATCAAAACTGTGACGATGAGTGGCTAAGCTTTCTCGACGTACCAGTGGGTCGGCCAACACTGCACTGAGAACTACAAAAGGATAGGGTATTATTAATCGATATTGAAAATTTTATGATCAAAAAGTTATGAGTGAATGTAAGTCAATAAATAAATTAAAAAAAGTAAAATTCATCTCGAAATGATACAGCCGATACTCATTCACGTACAAATCCAGCCATATGATTGGCTACCTAACCTCGAACCTATTGATGATAGCCCGAGTTTTAAAATGAAACTGCTGGTCGTTTCAGAAGCCCAGAAGTATTCTGTCACGACTGCAGTTAATTTGACATGAATATTAAAAGGAAAAAACACGAATGAAATGAATGAATGGATGAACGGGGAAATGAATGAAATACATTGTGAATGACTGATAATARTCTCCTTCACGGTTCCCTGTGCCATCTTGAAAGGTAGCCATGCCTTTATATCGAAGCGAGACAACTGTTGAGCGTGCAATAATAGATACCTGTCTCTAGGTCTCTAGGTGTGAAAGAAGGTGTCTATCATTGCTCATCGGTTGTCTCGCTTCGATGCAAAGGCACGGCTACCGTTTAAGATGGCGCAGGGAACCATGAAGGAGACTATTGGATGCGGGATGGCATGATAGTGACACAGAATCACCTGCGTTGTTCTTAGATATGCGACGTTTAATCGACAATGGTATGAGGGGTTTGACAGCGTCAGGAAGATCCAATCGACTTGCGTTCAACACGCATGACGTATGTCCCGTCTCCATGTTCCATATTTTGATATCTCCATCATAACTCGATGTAGCGACAAGATTGGGAGGATAGAATGATATCGAGAGAATATCRTCTTTATGAAATCCAGGCCATACACGAGGGACATCTTCTTCGTCATCTCGGCAATCCCTTGAAGAATRAAATATCAACATTTTTTGGGCTGCATGTTTCAAACGCCGAATCTTACTTGTGTTAAAGTAATGCATAATGAAATTGAATTGTATTGACAACGTTTGAATAAAACAGACATTAAAAATATATAGCCGACAGTTTGGCTTCAATAGCTCGCTGAATAACATGAATCAACCTAAATATCAAAGAACATAATACTGTATAAGGCAGTACGAGATGTAATCTTACTTGTACATGATGATTTTCTTACTCCAGCCAACTACAATAATTGTCTGCTTGAAAGCAAGGATTCCAGTAATCTATAAAAACACAGTTTATTAAAGACATACACGTGATTTTGAATTAGCCAATCAGATCTAAACTGGTATAGTAGAATCATTATAATAAATATCTTTATTAATCCATTAAGGAAATTCACCTCTTCGTCATCAACAGGCTCAAGTTCCCTAAGACAGCATCCATTGTTAAAGTTCCATATCTTGACGGTGCCGTCTCGCGCTCCTGTAATAAGTCGCCTYTTTGATTGATCAAAGGTCATAGCTGTGATTTCCGAGTCACCGTGCGCGTTTGAAAACTGGATGATTTTTTCTCCATTTTCAATGTTCCAAACACACACCACTGAGTCATGACATGCACTCACAACCTATATAACAAAAACAGCTATATTTAAAATTATTAACTGAATAATTTCATTTTTTCTTRATAATTACTCTTTATTCTCAGTTTTTTTTAAGTGAAAGTTTTTCTCACCTGATCAAACAAATCATTGTAAAGAGCTGCACAAAGTGGTTTGGTATGACTAGCGATTTCCCTTTCCTCTGATGGTTCTTCGTTTTTTCCTTCAAGTACTGAAAACTAAACAAAACAAATAAACATAATAAAAAGTCCTTGTCATGGCTCTGACTTGGCGTCCGCGCAATCGGCAGTGACTTCAGCCCCGATACTCGTTATCATTTGTCCATTGTTTTGATCATGTGTTCGTATTGCTTGTCGATTACTCGTTCGATTCGTTCTTTAATTTGATCATGTGTTCATTTATGTACCTGATTAGTTCCTACTAAGATACAATGTAACTTGGAGCTGTAATAAAGGCTAGAGATTGGGTGTGGACCTCTCAGTAGTGATCTGCTTGGAATCGTTTGAACACAGCAAAGATCTCTCATGTCCCAGATCTTGATGACCTGTTGAAATCATTCAGTAATTTAACCGATTAAGTGGTGTTGCTGGGTTATTTCTCGTTTAGCCTATAGTAAAATGTCACCTTGTCTTCAGCAGCGCTGATGATCTCACCCCTGTCACTATTGATAAGAATGTGTTTAATGCTGGCACTGTGTCCTTTTAGAATCTGAAAACAAAGTTAATGATGTCTTCAACCATGTTTTCTACTTTTAAAAACCTCTGATGGATGGGTAGTAACGTGGATCTCACATCTTGTGGCAGCGACTCAAGAGGAAAGTGCGTGTGATAAATATGTATCCCTAAGGATGGGTTTGTAGTGCATTCCCCAGTAGTRCAATCAAATACCAGCGCATGTACAGAGACCACGGAGAGAGACTTTTAAAGTGAAAAGTAATGTTATAACATAKTTCTTTTTTATATTCCATGGAGAACATGCAAACTTACGCGTTTAATGTGTGTACAGATAAAAACCGTTCAAAAATCATGTGTAATAACCCGGTTTACTTACTGAAGATGGTTTCATAGGTACGTAGGGATTCCATAGTCGAAGATGATGATCAAGTCCCCCAGTTACTGAAAAAATATAACGAAAACATATATTGTTTAATCGACGCATGAGAACAGCATGTATATATGAACTTTGTAATTCTTCACATACTCAGTAACACTGGAAAAAATCGCGCGCTTTAAAGGTTGTAAATCTGATGTAAATATAATGTAAGTGTCCAAAATTCTGTAAATTTGATGTAAATGATTTCCATTAAATTTACAGAATTTTGGACACTTACATCATATTTACATCAAATTTACAACCTTTAAAGCGCGCGATTTTTTCGAGTGATTAATACTTACCAATGACATTCCATTCCTTGCAGTAGTCAAACGAATTGATGCCTTTTCGAGTGCGAAACATCGACTTCCTATTAAAGCATGTGATAACGATATTTKTTATTTGATCAGGCACAATTGGTTTCCAGTTTTACTGGCAACTCCCTGCTAACCCACACAACTCTCCAYTTCTGTCTTTCAGGCAACCATTAAGTTACGCACGCGCATTTCCACTTTTTCCTCTGCKYGTCTTTAATTATTGGTTGGTCTTGCAGCTCARTTAAGTGGTGAAGMCACACCRGCATAACAGAGATCATGGGTTCGAATCCTCTTAAATTCATCGTATTCTTCATTCATTTATTTATTATTCACATCCATATTTCAACCATGTCAACAAAATTAAATATTTATATTCTGTTTCTTACGTTTTCTTGCGATCGACATCACCAAGATACATCGAGTAGTCTGTGGAGCTTGCGCATGAGATGAAGCATTGGAGGGTTGGGTAGTATTTGACTTTACGAACCCAGTCATTATGTAAACCCTGTCATCAATAACATCAGAACATTACATAAAGATAACTTTGACACATTTATTGTTGTGAGGGGCATGTATTCAGCCCCAGTGTTTATGAGGGTGTATACTATCAGGGCGACTGAGATCGAGACATTTCAATGTCAGGGATTTTGGGATTTCGCGAATGAAGAACTGGAACATGTAATTAAACTTCAAAATGTAACCAAGCCCTTGAAAATACATAAAAACTAGTATATAGTTAAAGTACATATCTGTTATTGCTATTCGAAGAGATCATAAGAACTGTCAAAATCAATTTAGTGGCACGATCAACTTACGGTAAATTGAACTGCTTTAACGTTTGCATGTCTTCCAAGAAGAATCTCAGGAAATGGCACTCGACGACAATTAACTGGAAATAAAATATTACGAAAACATGGTCTTACTATAACATTTTTAAAATGCGGTTGGAGTGAAGATCCACCGATTTGTTGTCTGGGTGACTACACATAGCTGAGTGTTATTTGTAGCATGGCAAAACATTCGATAGTTTAGTCAGAGTCAAACTCCATGCATTATTAGCTTACCTACCAGCACTATTGAAATATTCGATTATATAGGCGCATCCCGTCCAGCCCGTCCTAGGTTGTTTCATACGTAACCATGATATACTCACTCATGATCCAGAAAAGAAAGTTCCGCAGTCGCGTACGTAGTCCCGACGGCTGAGGACAAAGCCTAGTCGCGTCCATGCTGATGCATTTAAATCTACTCCCCTTTTCCCCCGTTCTCATAAGAATGGAATACATATAATATATAAATTACGCAACAATGAGGGTGCCCGGTTTATTTTTGATTTGCTAATCACTGGTTTAACCGTTTAGCTGATATAGTATTATAGATACCTGTAGGGATTATCGGCCCGATGGAGAGATCAAACAAAGAAGTCGTAGCAGCAGAGAACTTAATACTGCTAACRTTACCACCAGCATCACCAAACAGCAGTATACCTTCATTTAGTTTCTGTGGATTACACCTTGTAAGGATGGATAGAAATGATTGTTAATAAATATTTATCATTGATACAGATTTATACTGTGTAACTCGTGAGAAAGCTCTGATCGGCAATACGTTATTATAGATCCATTCTAGCTCCCACACTTGGAGCAAATGTCATTTGTCTCATTGTCTTCCGCCGCTGATGAACCGCTTTTAAGTCAAACTGCAATACGGCGTGTTACTAGGGTACGTGAAAAACACCAGCAAGGAGGGTGAAGGAAAGGAATACGCGCGCTAAAATCTTGATCGTACTTAGATGTGGTGTCAGTAAAATCAAAATTGAAAAAATTGCGAGGTTTTTATTTGTACAAGTAAAGCAAAAAAACTAAATTGATACGATAAAAGAATTGAAGYGAAGTAGAAATTCTTTACCAGTAGTCCATACTGAGCACGCAGTGATCGAGTCCACATAGGATGAACTGCTTGTCRAAACTGTTMGCAGAGCAATCATAAAATGCTAAAAACAGAAAGACAAGAAAGTGATTTATCAACTACAACGACCATATCCATTGCTAACCACGATAGAAAGATGATATAATAATTCTTCTTTTATTTTCCTGGTTGTAGATGACTAACTAACTAACCTATCATTCTGTCTGCCGATGCTACTGCTATCTTCTTAGCATTAGGTAACACTACRCAGTCTGTAACCCACATACTTCTCTGTGACTTAGAACTGTCTATCAACTAAATCAACACCTCAAATCAATGTCATAAGTTGTTTGGTAATGAATAGTGAGATGTACAGAAAAATGCTGTATTCTACAGTGAATTGTATATAAACAGGACCTGTCTAAAACCTGGGCTGCAAATCCAACATTGAAAACTACATAGTTGCAGCATGATAAGAGCAGTTAGATTCTCAAAAAATTACATACAGTAAAAAAGAAAGAAAGAAAAAAAAAAACAACAAACAAACAAACAAAGAAAGGAATGAAAAAGGCCGGCCAAAAGAACGCGAAATCGTCCAAGGCAAAAAAAGAGAAATTTTGGTCATGTGGCTGGAGTTGAATCCTCCGTATGCATTAAAGTCAATCCTTCATAAACTCCACCATAGCCTACCGAGTGAGTACGAAGAGGATTAAAGTCCATACTCCAAAACTGTATAATACCATCTTTACTGATGGTAACATATCGTCCGCCATTGTGGTCGGCTGGATCGTCTGCACTGTGTGACATCTTGGGRAAGTACGTTATCCTGGGCATGCTGTCACGATGAGCACTGGGAAATTACAAAATTAGAGATTAAGACTATACAAATTCTACTTATACTCGAATAAATTTTATATGAAACAGTTTGCTGGCAATTATTTATTTTGTGATACGCATTTAAATTATTATTTTCACTTTAAATAATTTATCGTCGTTCAACTTTTCTTCCCATGGGCTCCCTGTTAAAAGAGTGCAGAAACGTCTACAGAAACACAGAAACTGGGTTTCAAAACGCCTGGGTTTCAATCGTTCCCAGGGCTTCTCTGCTCGCTTTTTTCAAAATGGCGGATGAGGAGAGGTTGGGTTGCTAAACAGGAAGCCCAAAGGAAGGGAAAAGTGAAAGAAGAGCATGAAGGAATGGATTTTGTTATCAATGGCGAAGGYAAATTACATTAAATTACTTACCTGGGTATCTCACGTGCTGGGAAAGGAAACTCCATCTGAACAATGAAAGATTTAATGCGATTATTAGGAAACTACTTCTCAATAATCGTGATTTAATGGCATACTTCTCTATCTTCGCTTGTCATCACGTCCTTGAGCTGGTTTTCAAGAAGCATGTACGAACAAAATTCTTCCTGCGAACACAAACAGTTCTGTCAACTCACTATTATAGACTGATAGGATTTCTGCTACAGAAGGTAATATTAATTTAAGGCTTTTAGGAGCCATAACTAAATATTTGATTAATAATTATTTAATGTAATTATGAACTACGGGAGTACGAGTCTTACCCAATCCACAGTTCCATCACAGTTGGCATCGACCTTCATGAAAATGATAGAAAGTTGGTGGTCATCGGGCTGGAAGAAATGATAAAGAATTGATGAAAGAATTGGCCAAATAAATGTAAGCATAACGACGGTACAGCATTATCTGAAGGTGATAAAACTATAAAAGCCTGCAGAATTGTTGGAATTGTCAAATTCTCAATAGCGCATTAATTAGTTTCTTTGCAAACTATTAATCATCACGCTCGACAATCTCGCTGAAATTTTCGAGCTTGAATAATACAATCTGCAAAGCAGCAAGCACACATACACAGTAATAATCGTAAGCACAGCCAAAGGGAACAAACGTGTTCGTTTATGCTTATGTCCAACAAGTGTGTGCTTGCGTCGCGTCGCGGTCGTGAAAGTAGTCTTAATGTATTTTGTGATTATGATTGTGGTTATTTCGCGTGAAAACACTACACTTGTGCTTATCACTGTGTTTATGTCGTCGTACGATGTGATGCCAGGCTTTAACGATTGTGATGGTATTTTTTTAAGGATAATTCAGTGATTCCGATACTGTCGAAATGTTTTATGATAATGATGGCAATAACGATAGTGATTACGATACACTTATTTGTAATTCACACCAGTTCTCCTTTGCCTGCCATTGTCTTAATCATTGCTTGACGAAATTCATCCAGGTCCAGTCCACCTCCACCATCCTCGTCGGCTTCCTGAAAAAATACAATATATTTATTGTATACATATGGAGTCCGAGACCTGTTTTTGATCAGGGATCAGGTGATCGTTAGGATTTCTGCCAGCTGTGTCGGAATCGGGTTCATTGGTGAAATCGGCGAATCATTTAGTTTTGGAAATCAAGAATCAAATCACTGGAAAAGAATCGCGCACTTTAAAGGTTGAAATTTGATGTAAATATGATGTAAGTGTCCAAAATGATGTAAATTGGATGAAAAGTACGCGATTTTTTCCCACTGAATGCAGAAAATTTTGGCTTTGGAATATTTTGGCCAAAAAAAACAAGAAGAAACCGAGGTCACCGAGATCACAAGGAAATAAGAAGTATACTATCGTAATCGCCTGGTTTGGCTCCCTTTTGCATAAAACACATCCTGCTTAGTTTGAGTTTGTTTTTTTAGTTCTCTAGTTTCCAGACTATCTTACTCTTGAGTATAAGTTTCGTCCGCGGTAACATGTAAGAATGCGGTAAGCGATTGAATAAAATTGATTATGGTGAGGTWAAGTTAGCGGGCTCATGTATCTTAAAATCGATCTAGTCTTTTAGCGTACTCCCCCGGACAACAAAATTACCAAAAAAAAATAGATCTAAAGAAGCGATAAGTAAAACGTTTTAAGAACCTTCCTCAAAGGGAACTGATTAGACTGATCAATCGGAGCAGGAAGCGACAATACTCTTGTTTTGTCGAACCGAATTAAAAATATATAAAAAAACTTATTGTAAGGAGCTTGTGTGGCAGTTTGTCTGTCAACGACTTGTTGTTTTGGTGGTTGCAGCGGAAGGTCTAGTCGTGTCACTAAAGCTCGAAACAGGTTGTTCTTACCTCGAATATCTGCTGCAGCATTTCTAGGTTTTCATTATTCATCTGATCTTCTAGTTTAATCATATTGTGGGGTGCCTGTGTTAATCCCTCATCCTGAAAAAGCGTCAAAGCATGTTTTAAGAAGGAAGAGATATACAAAAACAACGGAACGAAAACAAAATTAACACAAAAATAACACCAAACCAAAATATGCAAATCAAGTACAATCCAAAAAGAGAGAAAGAGGAAGAAAAACCAAACAGAATCAGAATGACTTTTGATGTTTTAAAAAGTTTAATCCTGTTAATGAGTGAAGCATGGAAAACATCTGGAAGTAATCTACTTACCACAGTGATGTCAGATTCTTTATAACCTTCAGCAACTTGCTCGAGTTCTTCTTCTCCATTCTCGCTTCCTTCCTCGATCTGCTCGTTTTCGTTTTCTGTGTCCATTATGAGCAGAATTAAAACTTAGATCTTTCAGTTGTGCGACTTTATTCTTACTGTAAAAAATTCGTCGAAGTCTACAAATTACTCGTGACGAAAACAATGATAGTTAGAACTGTGACGTGAAAATATCACGCGCGCGAGTTATTCATAACTTATCTCCAAGGCGTTCCTCGACGGTTGTTAGTCGAACACATTCGGCTGTAATCTTTATCAAGATGGTTTCGAAGCCAAACTCCTCTGGTCATTTCTAGAGGAYAGATTCATTCGAATGATCAGTTACAGCTTCGTTATAGGTAAGGACTAACATATTCATACATCCAGCGATATTTAACAACATAATAGCTCGAAAGCCAGAGGCCGTTTCGATTCGATGTTTGTATTTGCGCTTGTAATTCTGCCAAAATGCTGCGAAGTCTACCATTTTAACTTTGATTGTGTCATCTTTGACATATAGCGATTGTACTTCTCATTGTGAGGCTATTTTCCGTATTTAGTGTTAGTAGTAGGCGAACAAACAGCTAACTGTTTTCAAATTCAAATTGTAACTTGCAGTCAATCGAACCAGTGTCATCGTATATGTCATCGTATATGTGATCGACACGAGGACAGAGTTAGCAGTATATTGCCGCCTATTTTGACAGATTCTATTTTTTTCTATTATCAAAAATGGTTTGGTGTATGTTTGGTGTCTAGAGTGTTGGTCCCATATGCTTCATTAATTCACGTTACGTAACTATTTATGGCATATATCAGTCTGATAGTCACCGCTATGTTCCACTTCTTTGTCTATTACCGTTAAGTGAAAATCAAGATCAAAAATCATCTAAGAATTAGATTTTATACAGTTTTATGCATCGTATGTCAAATGCGCATTCCATGTTGATGCCTTATTGCGCCAGGTGATCGCTATGTCAGATCCTGTCACAACGCTTATCACGATCAGAATGTTTTATAATGAATCAAAGCAAAACCATTATATCCAATGATAATGTCACTAAAAGCACGCAATGTTTTGAATTAATTCAGACACAGGCTGAGTATATTCATGAAGATTCATTCGTATTAAATTTTGAATCATTTCTAGGAAACACGAATGAGACTATTATGACACTAATTAACAGCTTATTTTGTTTTCCTGTTTCCTTTTTCATCTCTGTTTATTTCAATATTTATTTCTTATTATAGTTTTGAAATGTATGTACAATTATTCATGAAGTATTGATATTATTCCTTTCAAGTTTTCATTGTTGGTATCCAGTTGAGATGGACACAGGCACAAGGTAGATGAGGAATTAATTGAAATTTTAGTTGTCTATTTTTATCAATTAAGATGATGATTACATAGGATAAAATATAGATGTCTAGCTAGGAAAAAATATATTACGGATCCAACCAACATAGGAAATAATAATAACAATGAAAAAATACAAACAACAGTGAAACTAATAAATTCTTGGAGCTATATCATTTAATTTTTTTTATTTCAGCTTGTCTGCTTCAGTCTCCATGTATTCTGAATAACACACAAGGCAATATCACAAGTCCAGATTATCCTAASAACCATCCTAGTAATGTGAAGCTTGCTTGGCTGATTTATGTTCCACAGGGACAGTCTGTGAGATTAGTATTTGAAGATTTTAACCTTGAAAAACACAAATTGTGTGAATATGATTATGTGGCAGTGTATGATGGGAATACCACAGGAAGCCCTACCATTGGGAAGTATTGTGGTCCGACTAAACCACCTGACCAGATCTCTACTGGGGAACAATTGTTGATTGCTTTTATATCTGATCATACAACAGAAAAATCAGGATTCATTATAAGCTATGAAGCTGTCAAACGAGGTATGATGATATTATTACATATCACATGTTGCTGTGTTACCATAATCAGTACATCTAGTAGCATTGTTGTTTTTGCAATTGTTCAAATGTCAGTYGTTATAATTACTATTTCCTTTGGTATTATATGAATCTGTGCTATATTTTTGTATGGAGGATAAATATGATTTTATGTATTATTAAGAAAAGGGCCCTTATTTTCACTAATGTTAWCAGAGAGAAGTAAGCATGATGCTCACGGCAAACTKCAAACKGCAGAAAAKRTCACRTGACCTGCTTTWTARGGGTCTACCGTTACRGTTTCAATGCGAGAACAGTCGTTATTTTGAGTTTGCCATAATCATGAAAAGTCAYTCTTTCAAATGACTACCAAAAGCACAAGGTCAGGCACGGAATTCTTAGGTCATTGTTTTAGCTCTGCCGTAAGCCRTAAACACGATGCTTAAACTCTCTATTGATATTGATCCAGTAGAGGATTGRGAAGCCTGTGTTGCATGACAAACTCCTGTAAACATTTCTTTATCCGCCCTTGTTATAATGTTGTTAATCATTTTCCCTTCTATTTCAGTTGACAGCTGCTCTGGTGATCACTCCATTATTGAAAATAATCGTAATATTATATTAAACAAGTCTCCAGGAACTCTTCAWACACAATTCAGTAATAATGTAACAAGCGTCAATTGTGTGTGGAGGATAAGAGCACCCAAAGGMCATGGAATAAGACTGACATTTATATCCATGAATATTTTATCRAATATAACATGCTCACTTAGCAGTGTTTCATTATACAGTGGTTATGACATTCAAGAAAAACATTTAATGCAAAGATTCTGTGGAGAGAATTTTAGAGTTAGTTTTCCAATTGTAAAATATAATACTGAAAGAAATCTGATCATTGAACTCAAAGCTGAGCAGATATCTTCATGGAATTCTAAGTCATTTGTGGCATCTTATGAATTCATAGAAAAAGGTGAGGTATCGATAATGTCAGTGGTATTTTAATTCTTTATCCTGAAGTGAATGATCAATATTAATTTGTAAGAGAACAGTAAATTGTAAAAAAATATTATTGATACTAAGGGATGGAACGTTTGATTTTTGATGGTAAGGTGTGATGGGGGGGGGGAGGTTTGATGGGGGGGACGTTTTTCATGCGCGATATTTTGTTCTCCTTTCAATACTGTTTCACAGGGTAAAAGCCTTGCTTAATTTTTTTTTATTTTCGTTATCACCCCTACCACACCCCATCAATCAAAAATCGAGTGAGYCCTYCGTAACTATGTCTTTTTATTTTTTCATCAGAGCTTTCAAAGTGTTCCTCGCTGAATAGTATCAACGAAAACGACAATATAAAACTCCATGGGTATCRAGGGAACTTCACTGTGGATAAAACATGGGCAAACATGAAATGCCAGTGGAAGATATAYGCTCCTACGAAATACCAGATTAGAYTGAGATTCACAGACTTTATATTAGAGAATGACTGTAATAAGGTCTATGTGCAGGTCTTTGATGGCGAGCGTATCAACAGAGGGAAGTTTTGCGGTCCAGAAATTCCATGGGTGATTTATTCCACCGCTGGACTTGTTATGGTGAAGTTGTTCGTTTCTGGGASGAGTAAAGCGTTAAACATTACTGGTTCATATGAAGCTGTTAAAATAGGTAGGTRGTATTTCTTTTCAAATATTYTGAAATATTACGCGTTTAATTTTGTACTGTTTCTATGAGAACTCCAGTCGCAAACTAGACTAAATGTCTAGTCCAGAACTAACTCTTAGTATCGTATATCTGATACAGCTAAAGATACATGCTCAACTATAAACTCTGAAAGCATAAACACCAATATTCAATTGAGTGGTCTAAGTGGTCTTATAATGACRCCTAACTACCCGTCTAACTATCCATCAAACTTCAAATGTATATGGGTKATCAGCGTGCCAAAGAAATTTCGAATAAAACTGCATTTTAAAGACTTTAAATTTGAAGGCCATGAATGTCGMTATGACTACGTKGARGTCCGAGATGGMGGYACTTATTTGAATGCTACAAAAACAGGGAAAATATGTCAATTACCAGGCGATGTATACTCGAGCTCAAATAAACTATGGATATGGTTTTCGTCCGATCAAAACAACGAGGAAAATGGTTTCCTAGCGTACTACACTGCTGTACTTCCTGGTAAGTATTGATACACAATCTSACGTTCCTTATCGGCTTCCCCCAAGTACCCCTCCTCCCCCCAACCGACGCCAAAACAACAATTCCTCAACCAAAACTACAAACCATCTCAAACAAAACACTACACTTCCTCAAACAAGCGTACACCAAAATTGTTTGTTTTCGTTTCCTATATACCTGATTACGAAAACGTTTTTCCTTAGATTTGCTGATTTAGGAAATTAGGAAYACATTAATAGACAAAACATGACCACTGAAGCTGAAAATTTTTCTATTTTAATCATTCTCTTTCTTGGACAACGTTTGTATAGTTTGTTGTAAATCGAAATTAAGATCGTTCCATTTTGTACRTGTTATAGTCTGTCAGCATTGATTTGTATGATTTTCCAGAACCATCGAAATGCGCCATGGTGAATACCGCTGACGAGAATGAGAACATCGAATTACGAAGTTYGACAGGTTACTTGACCAGTCCCAACTTCCCTCAACCTTCTCCAACTATCAAATGTACATGGTACATAGTTGTACCCAGACTCTCACGAATAGTCGTCAACTTCAATGACCTTAATGATAAATCTTGGTGCGAYGTGGCGTATTTGGCAGTGCATGATGGGAATTGTACTTGTAGTAAAGTTATTGGAAATTTCTGTGGCAAGGACGGGAAATCAACTATTGTTGTCTCATCRAGTAATGCTTTAACTGTGGTTTTCAGAAAACCTATCAGTGATCTGTTTAGAGGGTTTAATTTGTCTTATCACGTGCCGAAACTAGGTAAGTTTTTAATTTTTTTAGTTCTGTTTTCAATGACTCTTAGTGGCAGGTTTATCTTCTTTAGAGTGTAGGTCGGAAGATTGATTTCCCCTCTTTTTTCTATTTGATTTATTTTCACCTTTCCCTCATCGGTTTTTCCCATTTTAGTGAGCAATTCATTAATAAAATCTCACTGACAACTGGATATTACAAAATTTATGTCCTTATTTGCAGGTCCTGGTGTTTGCTCAGTTGCAAATTCAGAGAAAATTAATAGCAATCTATACTTRAATGAAACCAGCGGACAAATTACAAGTCCGGACTACCATTACTCGTCTTTTCCTGGTACCGAGTGCACTTGGTACGCGGTGGCTGCACGTGGATATCACGTGTTTCTTACTATCATTGCAATGAACATGTCGTGTGGTTATAACTATCTAGAAGTGCGAGATGGTGCATCAACAAGCAGTCCTTTAAAAGGGAGATATTGCAACTTAAAAGGAGCTAAACGATTCTATTCCAGCAACCAAAAATTRRTGATTCGATACGTTTCTCCAAAACATCCTGGCAAATTCGTAGCAAACTATCGGATGATTAAGGATGGTGAGTATATAAAAAACAATGCATCTTATATTATCACTGTTAAATGACAAATGTGTCGTCCATTTTGAATTTTATTATTTTYAATAAGAKACTATAGGATGCCGGAGGCACCAAACAGGAATTTTAAAGCCTGCATAACATTGGAATGATATTAGATTCAATTATTTGCCATATTTTAATATTTATTGACTTTTCTTCATAAAAATACATCGTAATGTACTACACATTGTCAAGTAATGTTTCGATGCTTCTGCCCAAGGGCATCCCATGATGTCTTCATGTTTCAAGATGGTGGTCGTATATGMAATATGTATCTAATGTAATGGAYCATAATTRTAATATTATAATTCATATTCTATGTAGGTAATTGTTCAGAGGACTTCGATGAGTTCTGGAATACAAACCTTCATGTCAGTAGTATGTATGGTGTTTTATCAAGCCCTGGMTATCCACGASCATATCCACSTAATATCAAATGTACCTGGAAAATCATTCTACCTTCCGACTCTCGAGTGAGACTGACTTTAAGGCACTTGTCGTTCGGAGGATCGTGCTCCTCTGATTTCTTAGAAGTCAGGGATGGTTTGACTTCATCTGGTARATTACTTGGAAAGTTTTGTAACAATGAGGTTGGTAAGGAGCTTCGTTCATCTGGAAGATACATGTTCGTACACTTTCAATCTGGAATTAATTTCACGTCTCATAAAGGATTTGATGCTGTCTTTTCCGCGATTCTCACAGGTAAATAACTTTTCTTTTAGGAGTTGTTCTCTATGTGTTTTTGACCCTTTTTCAGTTGATAACCTCGAGCCCTGRATCACGTCACCTATCCATCGGTCCTTAACCGGTGGCGTCCGTGTATTTTAAGTCGTGCGTCGATGAAGACATTTCATTTTATTAAMGAGAATTTCACAATGCTTAATGAATATGTTTTGCTATTGTTAATCCACGTACGCTAACTAAATATTCCTTTCTGAATTTTTTGACGCAAATTTTGATTTGCCAATARCCTCGGTTCTTATCATGTGAAATCAGTCAGTAATAAAGTCTGTCGACTTCGTTCTGCTTTATTGGCAATTTATAGTTTCGTACCGCTGATCTGTTCTTCGATGCTTTTTTACAGGCAATACACCATCGCATTCTACATTTGAAGCAGTTCTKATAATGGGTTTCATCACCTTTGCTGGGTTCGTAGTGGTATCAGTTTGTCTAATGTGTATTTACTGGTTATGCAAGAAGCGATGGGCCAGGGCACGTCATAGGCGCCGCCACCCTCCCCCAGAACCTCACGATCTTACAGTTTTATCATCAATGCCTCAYCCTGCTTTAGATGATATCCCAGACTGCCTCATTGCAGAGGATAGACCTCCTTCTTATGATGACGCTGTGCACAACGACGAACCACAGGAAGACCGACCACAAGAATCAGGAMCACGTAATGAGCAGCTGGATAATCCAGATCCTGTATCTACTGCACAACAAGAGGAAAGGGGTTTAGATAACCCTGCTTTTACTGTTGATCCGCCATCATATGAATCACTTTATGGAACCGAAAGAACATAGTAATTATATTTAATTTTAATTTTTAATAAGACAATAAAATGACAAGACGTTTTGTAGTTAAGATTCTTTGGACCATGTCCATTGTCTTGAGTGCTTTTAGTCAAAGAGTGGGCTAAATGGGCTTTATTTGTCATAAACAAATAGCAAAATTGGAAATATTATAAATAGTTAACGTTTTGTGCTCAAGAAGGGGGCTACAGCATCCTATTGATTCTCTTTTGATCCCTCCTTGCAGGTACATCTTCCGAAAGATCTTTAAAAAAATTTTGTCATTTTATTTGCTAAAATATTAAACTATTAGCCCAATGAAATTTTAATATTAGTATATATTATAATTCTAATTCAAGGAGTATGATTGGTTGATCAAGTTTCTATGTGATCAAAGTTGTACTGACTCAGTACGAGAATCGTTCATTTTAAAATAAGTTGTTACCTCGGCTACAAATATAGAAAACATATGGACAATATTATATGAATGAATTTCCAGGAAATAATGTTGTACATAGTGGTAATATTCCAATTGTGCGTAAAATGTAAACTCAATAACAATATCAAAAAACAATGATAGTAAATTCAACATACCAAACGCAAAAAATAGTATTATACGTAAACGTGTTTTTCATAGAACTCAACATGTGGAATCCCCTTGTACTGATGGAAAAGTAAAACTAATCTCGACAATATAGGTCACAAAGAATCATACAAAACAAATGTAATATAAACAAAGTAAAAAGAAAGTACTATTTCACGAGTAAATCCAAACCTTAGTTGCCTGTTGAGAGACGACGGCTGGCATCACTTTTCAGGCGTATTATCAATTCCTACAATGTAGATTGATCCATCAAAGCACACTGTCGCATGTCCCGTCTTCGTGAAGCCGTACCTCTTGTCCAGGCTCGACACTTCAAAATAGGGACGTCATCTAGGACGAGAATTTTTACATGACGTCACTATGACGTCACAGATCGAAATCTATTGTTTCAAGTTCTACACTCTGCTTTCAAATGTCATATTCCTTTTTGTGTGATTTCTTTAGATCAATTTGGATTTGAAAGGGTGACGCGAATTTGAATTCTGAGGTACTTCATTTTACCGAAAGAGTTTTTTTTCCTTTTCAAGTGTGTCCGGCCACGTTTCGGACTGTTAGAGAGCAAAATTTGTCTTCATCAAGCTTATTTGACAAAGCTTTTTTTAGAAAGTATGTTAAAAAAATCCATCTGCAAAATTACATGTTGCAATCGTTTACAAATGTATTTGTCCATCCGAGCTTTCAATTATGACAAGAAATACAAATAATAACAGCAAAATTGTAATATCCAATCGATTTAATTAGAAATTGCTAATGCAGATATTTGAATATTTCATTAAAATTGACTTACATAACTTAGAAAAGTTTTACTGATCAGAGTTGCCCAAACGGTAACAACTACCTTTTTCGGACGAGAACACTAAGGTTYAAATATTGTGGGCTGCTTCGGTGTTTTCATTGACGCAGCTGCGATACATGGATAAATTACTAATCGCAAAAGGATAAAAAAACAGGACGTTTCCGGCGTTAGTTCGTCGTCTTTTTACACTGACAAATAAAGGCTAACGTCCAGTAAGTTTTTTTCTCCTTTACGGCATTTGATTTATCTTCATCGCAGCTCATAATGTATTTCCCTTGTACGCCTGATGGCCTTTACTACCATTATAAGTAGCAATTTAGACAAACGTTACTCATGTAACAATAAGAATTCTCAGTCCACTTCACTTAAAGAGGAAGAAGATTGAAGTGGTGCTTCAATTACTGATCATGACAAGCCGCACTCCTCTATTCTTCTTGTTTAAATATGAAAATAAAGTGACGGAGTCATTGGAACGGCACGATTGAACATGACAGCAATCTCAAAGGATGCTATGTTGACTGAGAATGCATTACTAAGCGGGTATATCTAGTGATTCATCTCGTAAGTACGCCAGTCTTTACAAGTTACACCAGGAACAGTAACACGGAGTATATTCTATCGACTTCAAGAACTTTCAGAGAACCAAAACGAGCAGAAAGGTATTACAGTTATTTTCCACAAGGCAAGGACTTCAATCTTTCGATACCAAAGTCCCAGGATGAACGAGACCACACCTTCACCATCTACTACAACACCATATTTTACAAACCCTCGAAGTCCTAGCTTTGACATGTTTTTGATATTACTGGTGTTTGCCAATGGTCTGGTGGCCATCATGGCGTGTGTTAGCAATGCCATCGTACTGTTTACCATTGCAAAGACGCCATCTCTTCGAATTCCCAGCAATCTTCTTATCTTTGCCTTATCCACGTCTGACTTCATAACCAGCGTTTTTGTTCAGCCGTCTTTCTGCGCTGTAAAGTACTTTGAGTTTGAAAGGCATATTTCCTTGCATCATACCTTTCGCATGATATACACGAACAGCGTGCCGATAGTCAGCTTGGTGTCATACCTTCTCTTAACCATGATCGCGGCTGATCGTTTTCTTGCCATTCAATTACATCTGCGCTACAGGGAAATTGTCACCAATGAGCGATACGGTGTCGTATTAGTATTTATTGTGATTTTTAGTGTATTTTTTGGAGTATTAAGGGCACTTCAAAGTCTTAACTTTCTATCAATTATAGTTTCTGGAATGATCAGTACTGTTGCAACCGCAGCAAACGTTTTTTTCTACACCAAAATCTGGTTCGCTGTTCGTCGACATACAGTACAAATACACTCCCGAGAAAGCCGAAATAACTCAGAAACGATAAATATTCCAAAATACAGGAAATCAGTCAGGACAATGAGATGGATTGTCTGTGCCTTTATAATCAGCTATGCCCCAGTTACATTCGCTCAGTTGATAAATAGTTTCATCAAATCTTCAATTGAGTCCCTTTACGTTTTTGCAGTAACTGAGTCTCTTCTATTCTGCAATAGCATCTTCAATCCAGTCATATATTGCTGGAGAATGGCCAGTATTCGTCATGCAATATATGCCGTATTGCGAGTGCCTTCGGTGCCCACTGAGTGAGACTCAGGCGTTTTTCTTGTACTCATGAAGGCAAGTGAACAAGTCAATCACCAGTGTGGTCGTAAAGTGCATGATTTTTCAAGACTTTCAAGGTCTTTCAACACAAGTGTATTGGGCGGCGATATATAAGAAAGTAGAAGAATTGACGGGTGTAGAAAGCGTTAAGAATCAACTTGCGGTTTAAAGGAAGTGAAACTAGGTTGGACACATACTTATGATAGATCGAAACAGCGATTACTTAGAATGGGTCGATTGGCCTGGATCATCTGTAGGCTGAAAGCATGACATATACAAGAAGAGCAGCAACGGATATTTAGTTAATAGGGTGACGAGAGAAAAAAATTCAATGGGGTCGATTGATGGCAAGACCTAGAGACAGCTAAGTGGAAGCGATGTGTGGAAGCCGTATGAACCTTATATCACATAAATATAAATAGACATGATGAAAACCCCCCAGATATGACTGATCATTTTTTTTTTGGTTAACKGTRTACAGACGGTTATTTTACAAAACAAAGCGACTTGAAACGGAAAGATAAAGTAAAACTGCACTTGTTCAAGTTTACTGTAAATTCATTTAAGTGAGCCCTTTTGAAATGTTTGACTAGGTACTCATAATGATATATTTGAATTTAATTGAAGTCGAGATCGTTTGCAAATGAACGATTGCGGCGGATAGCCATGGAACAACCATCTAGTTACCTAAGGGTACAAAAGCTAGGAATTCAAATCAATCTGAAATTTATAAAGGTTTCTCTCTTTKGAGTTTCTAATGAACTTTCTCTAAAATAGAGGATATTACATGGGCGCGCGGAGATACGGATTTTATCTTCGAATGTTGAAAAGATCTCTCACGAGTGAGCGTAGCGTTAACGATTGAGAGATTTTCAACACGAGAAGATAAAATTCGTATCTCCAAGCGACCATGTAATATTCTGTTTATCATATAATTACATAYGAAAGCAAATTATGTCGCAAAATACCTTTTTTCTTATTTACACTATATAGAGAAACCTAGTGAAAATATCAATTTTATGAAATGGAGAAATATAGGTATTTCATAGATAATCATATGATAAAATCCTTTATTTAAAGGGACACTGTCAATGGATGACATGCGCAGTAACAGTCTCACTTCTACGGACTTTGAAAGTATTACCTTCGAGGTAAATCATTTTGTGGTGTTTTTGACACACTTTGGAATATTCTAGATCTGTTTACGTTTACGAGCTGATTTATGTCGCGCCAACTTGGAGYCATAAACTTAAAAACACTAGCCTAATGTTTTCAAGTTTACTCGCGCATGCGTGCCACTGACAGTGTCCCTTAAATATTTATAAAAACTCGAATCCATTTCCCTGCTAGAAAACTGAAAATTCTGTCGAGTCTATAAACAGTTTTTGTCTGGCACGGTTCAAACTTGCTTCCCGGGTCTGGGCGCTACTAGTGTGCGCACAGTATGTTTTTGCCAGTTCCCAGACGAAAATCCGGTACTTCGCTGGTGCCATATCAAGTGTGAACAATGTGCCTCTAATTACAATCCGAGCACCCCACAGTTTCTTAAAAACACTGGATTTAAAGATGGCGGATTCATTGGCTCAATATCACTAGCGACGAAAAAAATATCTGAATAGCTAGTTCCTCGCATTATGAGTATTTTTGCGGTCTTTTTTGTATGTTTAGTGAAGTTTGTTATCGTAACGTTTCTAGACAAAATTATGTCATGTACACCTGGTTTTCAAAGAAAGAATTACCGCTAGAATTGATTAATTGTAAAGAGAAAGGCAGATACGTGATATTGGACGAATGGCTGAAATCCCGCGAAATTCACAATGTGATATAACAGTTATCTTTCTAATTTTTTTTAAGCACTAGTTTTAGTTGTTTTTTTTACTTATTTATTTAGTGCTATTTTGAAACATATCAGTTTCCGACTATGAACGTCAATAAGAACTGTTTTTATTAKTAGTAGTGTTATTATCATTCTTCTTCATGGCGGTTTTTCATTCTCTTTGTTCCAGTTTAACATTTCGATATTTATTGTTATCTACTTCGTTGCCGTTATTGTTATGGTTATTCATCTATATATAGCAATTATCATTATACAAAATGTTATTATKATTACTATCATTATTTTCACTATAGACCGACTTTGAAATTGTTCTTGTAATAAAGAAAAATATATCTACCTATAATAAAACATACTAAAATGCTAGAAAACTAGAATGAGGACTAATATACTTTTTGAGAGGTACATTTAAAAAAAAACTTCAAATTACTGACCAATAGTGAGTGCATTTAACTCTGCTTGTCAGACTTGAAGCTGGCATTTTTTCCAACAGAGCTTAACTGTAAACTCAAATTGTGGCTTCTTAAAGATTAATATTTTGAAATTCAAATTCCGATTACTCGACCCCACCTGCATCATTCATATCAAATTGGTTTAGGTCATGAAAGTGGACGGCCTTGCATGATTCAAAGGTACTAAATTCGTTGATTTGTTAAAGATTCAATGTATTCTAATCACCTGCTGGTGAACAAAGCTTACTGTCGAGCTTTGCGTTTCAT